ATATATCTAACAAATGTTTATATTATATTTGTATGTCTCAGTGTCGTAATAGTGCAGCCAGGTCTCCTTAAGAATGATGTTCTCTTATAACTGCATTGTCAATTAAGTTTCGAGGCAAACTGATATTTCCCTGTTTGTTTTTAACATATCACAAATACGGTCAAACCAACACATGACTTTCACCCAGGAGGACACTGTTCATGTCCCGAGTGAAACCAAAAGTCAACATTCATTTTATTTAAATGTATTTCCGTAACTTAAATAACGTAACAAATGTTCTTATTTCACCCTAAACAAGAAGCTTTGTTGCCTAAACATGACCAAGAATCTTTTTTGCGTTGACCACATGTTTGAAACCTCGTAATCGAAACTTAATGAAGAATGCAATTCAGTTGTATGTGAACGTCATTTTGCAGAAGACGTGATTGAATAGAGAGCTTTCTACTCACAGTACATGTCAGGTCTTGTGGGTTTCACATCAAAAGATGAGCACGTCTTGGCTTCACTTCAGTCACAATGTGAGTTCGTTTTTTTATATGGTGTTCTTGTAAATCTATGTTATTCAGGACCGATTTCACTTTTGGGGTTGTTTTAGGGTTACGGGTAGAGTGAGGACTGTGAATAGACATGAAGTTGTGACGGTTGGGGGCTAAGAAATGCATTTTATCACTCTAGGTCCTCCCAAGTATAGCAAAACAAACACAAGCATGTGTTTTGAGAGCGGCTGTGCTTGTGCTTTGAACTCAGGTTGACTCCTGCACCTGCTGGGCTTTAGACACATCATTCCGAGTTCACCTGAAGTTCATGACCCAATGCGAACACACCTGTGGTATTCCTACAGTTTATGATCTTATCTTCCCATCATCACCCACGCCTCTGTTGTTTTGATTTTTGTTGTTCTGGTATGTCATCAAATGCGGCATCCCGTTCCTCCCCCCCCCCCCCCCCCCCTTTTTTTTCTCTTACTTCTTTTTCTATATTCTGCCAATTATGTTACGCAACAGTTCCTTCCACTGTCTTCCAATTGTCAACGAGTCACGCCTTTTCTCTCACTTTCTTTTCCTCGTCCACTGGAAAATAAGTATTAAATAAACAAGGGAGTTTGAACAGAAAACCACTTTGGAGTCAAAGCAAAAGTAACTCAACATGTGTTGCCGATTTGATATAATTTGGGGACTTAGGGGTCAATGACAAAAGGACGTATCATGAGCGAACGGAGCAATGGATGTTTTTGTTGCATCAAAATGTTCCGTATATCATATCTGATCCGTGAAAATCCTTCTTTTGATCACTTTCAGCCGGGCAAGAGCTCTAATGATGGCAATATTGGTCAGTCGGTTGATAGGTCGCTCTATCTGTCAGTCCAGTGCTTTTGTGACTGAAATATCTGAATACTTATTGGATGAATTGCCATGAAATTCAGCAAGAACATTTATGGCCTACCAGCAGGTTGATGTGTGTGGTTCAAGGTGAACTTTCTTGGGACTATCTGATGGATAATCCTTCAACATTTTTACAGATATTTGCTGTTGTTCGCGATGCCATGACTTTTCATATTCCGCCATCGTAAGGTCCAAATTAAACATTTTCCAAAACGTTGGTTTATGACCAAAAACCTTCAAAACTAATGAAACCCCGTTTTAGCCTCAGATGTGTACTTAATGGAAATTAGTAAATGCTAGCTAACAAGCTAAGCTAGGATGTGATAATGATAAGAATTGAAGCAACCACTGATGAAGTTAAACCCACGATAAACAATGCCACGCATGTCATGAAAACTTAATGCTTACATTTTCCGACAGAATAACGGCCTTATCTCTACCGTCTCTTTAACTCATTTTCTCACATATTTTGTTCACCAAACACTAGATTTGATGTCATAAAATCCCACCACGCCAATTATTACATGAAATGGTAATTTCTTCTCATTTGACATCTATGTAAGAACTGGTAATATCCAGCAGAATTAATCAGACAACGTGTTTCACTCTGTGTGTATCTGGCGGTGCTCAGACTGTGGAGTGATGGATCGACGAACGGACGGAGGGTGCAGCCTTCTCAAATGTAAATTCCTGGAACAAAATATGACTCGAAAGTCTTTTGACATGCAAAATGTTGGACAATGCTTCGTGTTTTTGATGTGACGAAGAAGCCAAAGGTCCAAATACCTTCCGTCTCTGCTCATTCACTGTGCTATCGATTGCGAAAGGAGTGTCAGCTGGTTGGTAAAAGCTATAAGTTTCCTGGAACAGTTTTGCCGGCACTGGGTTTGTCGTTGGTTTCTTTGGAAGTTCGTAATCTGCAAACTGCGGCTGGATCTACAGTCATATGAAGAGATATCACACCAGGAGCAGTTCACACATGTTTGACAGGCCCCAATGCCACAATGAGGAAGATCACACACCTTCATGCATACCGAAACAGGCGACGGTTTACCAACAGACGCTTCTGCCTGCCTGGAAAATACTGACACCCGCACAAGGACGCGCCTGCAGGCGAAGCCATAAGCAGACATTGACAGGAGCAAATAGAGTGCATGCCTTTACATGACTTTTCAGTGCAGTTGTAGCACCACGCTGTCCCCAAACACTCAATCATCCGCTCTTTGATTTTGAAGCGTAATTACTTTCTGTTCTTTGATGTACCGCTTCATGTGAGATTGACATTTCCAGCTAAGTTCTGGCAGCTCGGTGCCAACGGTTTCTGCCGCTTCCTGCTGCCGACGTTTCTCTTCCTGATGAAAAAGAACTCGGGCTCTCTTACGGGAAACGGTGTTTGCATTGAGATGAAAAACTGTCGACGGCAGTTTTGCCTCGGCTCCATGTAAAATATTATTTAGTGAAGTTAAATGGTATAGCTTCATCAAATCAGGAAACAATTGTCCCTTTGAACACAGACATCTCTGCATCATCACAGGCACTAACTTTCCAAACATAATGGCCTGAACAGAACCAGTAACTCCGGTTATAACCGAGCATAGAAGTGTTCCAGAGTTTAGTTTGAGACAAATCCCATCATCCTGTCCTGAGATGGACCGTCACACTTCGTCTCCCACAGCGGTCTGATTCTGTTGACTCGGTCTGCGTGTTGATTGGTGAATGTCTGCTCTCATGACCCCTTGTACCTGCAGCTGAGGGATCAGCTGTGTGCCTCTGCATCCAGACCGGTGGATAACAGCTGCTGTAATCCTTCAGAAGAGATGGGAGTCACAGCTGAGAGGAACTCTCTGCTTTCTCCACATCTTTCATATAAAAATCACGTTTATTTATTTATTTTGTACTTGCCCATAAATTGCTACAACCGCGGTGGCTAGTTTATCACTTTATCATAAAGCATAGAGTCACAATGGCCACATTAATGGGAAATATGCCAGGTAGAAATATACCAGAATTGTCTCCTCGTTTTCGGAGGACAACCTGTTTTCGTATGAAGAAAGTGATGTGCTTGAGAAGTTCTGTTTGAGGGAGTAAGTCTTATTTTGGAAAGAAAGTTTCAGCTCCAAATGTTACTGATGGGGAGGATAGAACAAAAATTATACATATATATGTATATATGTATAAATATACATACATACACATACACATACATACACACATATATATATCTATATATATATAGATATATATATAGATATATATATAGATATATATAGATATATATCTATATATATATGTGTGTGTGTACACTGAAAGAATTAAGTGGATCACAGAACTTCATTCATGAAAACCATCAAATCACGTCTACACATAGAAACACACTGTTTCTCTCTTGGTTCCCTTGAAGTGGTTCATCTTGGAGTACTTAGTGTTGCAAACGGTCTCTCCTGGCGGCAAAACTATAAACAAACATAGAACTCCTTATTCTTCCCACAAGCTGTGTGTGAGTTTGTGTGTGTGTGTGTGTGTGTGTGTGTGTGTGTGTGTGTGTGTGTG